TCTCGGGGAGGACCTTGTCACTCTACATCTGCCTGAAAGGAGATTGTAGCCAGGTCTCTTCTCCCAAACAGGGCAAGAGGCAACGATCTCAGTGCTCCAGGGAAGGTTTAGATTTGATATAAGGGAACACTTCTTCACTGTAAGGTTGATCAGGCATTGGAACAGGCTGCCTGGGGAAGTGTTTGAAAGGTGTGTGGATGTGGCTCTTGGGCACAGGGTTTAGTGGTGATCATGGCAGTGCTGGGTTAAGAGTTGGACTTAAATGATCCTAAATTTTTTCTAACCTAAGTGATTTTCTGACTACATTTGAGAGGGTTGTGGGGAAGAACAAACAATGCTGGGTGGGTGGTGGTCCTGGGGAAAACCTGCACCCATTAATTAAGCCCTGTGTGATGTGATGTCCTAATTGCTCTGTGTAATCTGCAGCATCTGTGATAGGCCGCAGCTTCAGCTATTCCATAATGAGGCATTTTGCCTCAACATTGGCAAACTTCCCTTGTTTAAAGGGCAGGGGAATATTAAATAAACACCATTTATATTTATTTGCCTCAGATCAGACTGTGGCTCTTACATTAATTTTGCAGGATTTTTTGGGTAATTAGCCTGCTCAGCCCATATTTGGAATTCAAATCCAATATTTGTCGAAAGGCTTGGAAGGATATTAAAAATCTGCTTCACCGAGGACACGGAAGGGATAAACCTGAGGCTCGCTGCGTGCGGCTGCCCCCGGAGCACGGCGGTCCCCGGGGCTGTGGCCGTGCCGGTGGCAGGAGGAGGCGTTTCCCCCCATCCCGGCCGCTGCATGTCAGTGTTGCGCCGAGCACGGCAGCAGATCCCCCTCCTGGTTCCCTAATCCATCCTGGCGTTACAGAATCACAGAACGGCTGGGGCTGGAAGGGACCCTAAAGACCGTCTCGTCCCAGCGCCCTGTCGTGGGCAGGGACACCTTCCACTAGACCAGGTTGTTCGGAGTTCCATCCAGCCTGGATGGAACGCTTCAGGGATGGGGTGGCCGCAGCTTCTCTGGCAACTGTACTGGTGCCTCACCACCCTCACTGGGAAGAATTTCTTACCAAGACCTAATTTAAACCTGTCCTCTTTCAGTTTAAAGCCATTCCCCCTTGTCCTATCAGTCCTCCCCCTTGTCCTATCCCTTGTAAAACGTCTCTCTCCATCTCTCTTGTAGCCCCTTCAGGTACTGGAAGGTGCTCTCTCTCCAGAGCCTTCTTTTCTCCAGGCTGGACAGCCCCAGCTCTGGGCCTGCCTCCATAGGAGAGGGGCTCTGGCCTCATGGGCTATTCTGGACTCGCTCCAGCAAGTCCTTATGTTGTGTCCCCAGAGCTGGACTCAGCGCTCCAGGTGGGAGCTCAGAAGTGCAGAGTAGAGGGAGTAGAATCACCTCCCTTGACCTGCTGTCCACACTTTTTTGTGATGTCGCCCAGGATAGGGTTGGCTTTCTGGACTTAAAGTACATATGAGTTATCCCACAGTTATCCCCTTTCCCTCACAGTCCACTGTGCCCCACTCTGCCCCCCAGCAGGAACCAAACCCTTGTCCCCTCTCCCTGCTCTTGTGGCCCTGACCCCAAACCTGCCCACCGCAGCTGGCCCAGGGCCCAGGCACTGCTCTCCCACACTCTGCTCTGCTTTTATATTGCTTTAATCAATTTCTGGTGTTGTATCACACCCTTCCCTACTTGTTACAGCGTATCAAGCATCTACCATGTGCTCATTAATTGGTCAATTACTTTATTTATATGCTAAACATTATCTAAAGCACCAGTCATTACCAGCATCATGTCTGCAGTTTATGTTGAGCTTTTTTTTATAGGCTTTAAGTGCCTTACCTTCTCCTTGCCTGGTTCTTGCCTGGGCCCCAGTTAACTCTCT